TTCTATTCAAACAGTTTTCAGTTAACTTATTCATTTTCTTCCACTTTCCCTTTCTCTCTTTGCTCTCAATTTCGGTGGTTTCATGTCTTTTTCAGTGTTTTTCAGTCTGTTAAGTGGCTCAATTTTAGTGTTTTCATGTCTTCCTCTTTATTATATTATTTTTCTAAGCAAATACACACCAGCCCTTAGACAGTTGTATAAATATCGATAGACTGGGGTGGGGGAGCGTTGAAACGGTGGCGAGAGGACACACTACCGTCAGGGAGTCAGCCTTAGAAAGGGAGAGCTTATTTGTTTATCGTGCATCTTTCATAGAAAGAAACAATAGCCGCTCTCTTGGTTTGGGGCTCTTGGCGCCGCCCAGTGGAGACAAGCGCCTTTGCACCTCATTCGGGTCAATTGGCATTATCTTGTGGACCTTTAGAAACGTTCAAACAAAATGACAGGAAGAAACACTACTTCCAAGTTCCTCATGATCTATAGGTGCAACTCTTCAAAGTTCAGTTCCGTTTTGCTTTTTGTTTTTTTTTTAAAAAAAACCCTGACGCTCCAGTTTAAAGATTACCCCACTCAGTTATAAGAGTGAGCCTCTGAGGGAGTGTATTGAGGAATGAAACGTTAAATGCACGAGCGTTTGAAACTTTCCCTGTGGTGGGGAGGGAGCATTGTTAGTGATCAGGACTGGTGTCTTTCAAAGCCAGAAAGGAAAGGTTGTTCTCTATTATCCACAGTTGGCAAATAACTGCTTTTATGCAAAGTATTATAAAATATTCCAAAAATTAAATCATTTTCTTCCTTCCATTGTCTTCTTTTAAAGGAAATGAAGGCCTGAAAGTGGAAGATCATTTTCAAATCCATGCCAGTTTAGGAATTATATTTGTTTGTATTTTAAATCCAGTGGGGAAAAACCTCAGATTAAATTCAGTTAATGCATTTATTTTTCTGTTACATGGGTATTGAAAATGTAATTCATCTGCATTCTTTTATTTCTGAATTTTTATTTTTTAAAATGAAAAGTTAAATCATTTGCTCTGCTAGAAAGGGCATAATTTCTTGGGTGTATATACAAGGTGGTGCAAAAGTAAGTTTACAATTGTTCGTATGGAAAAGAATACAATAACAAATAATAAAACAAGTATAAACTTTGTTTTACGTACTCATGACTGTAAACCTACATATATATATATATATATATATATATATATATATATTTCCAGAAAGCAAAAGAGAAATGTGTCTGGAGAAAAAAGAGCCGTGAAAAGTTAAGAAACAAAACCCAACCCCCGAAGAATGTTTTTTTTTTTCATAAAGTTTTCGGTCTAGTCTTTGAGTCCCTCTTTTGGATCTTTAGGACACTAGTAGCATTTCCTCTCTGGCAGGCACCCTAAGATGAGAGCCTTGATAAAGTGAAGGTCCCAGTTTCCCCTCTGAATGGTTACTCTGGAAAGCTGACCTAACTCCCACCCAAAGAAAACTTCTGGGATCTTAACCTTTCCTTAAGAAAAACAGGATCCGAGCTCTTCGCAAGGTGGGGCCTACTGGGCGTCTGTTTTGTTTGCTTTGGAGTTTTCATAAAATGAACACTCCTCCTCCCCTAACACTTTCATCTTCCTCTCTCCCCCTTTTTTCTAGATTTCATTTTTTTGGTAGGGTCATATCTCTGTCTCTCCTGCTAATGTACATTATTCCAAGCAAAAAGTCCTGTCCAACAGCCCAACACAACTGCGTGCTCAGCCTTTTGAGCTCTTGAGTCATTTCAAGCATCGGAACAAAACAAAAACAGGCTGAAATGAATTATTTATCAAGGTCAAGAATAACTGATTTGTGCAGTGCCACCAGTTCTGGATCTTAAATTTGTTTTTCCTCCTCCCTACTTCCCACCCAGAATAGCCTGCGAGGAAAGTGTAGGCTGTAGCCTCATTTGCGAAGTTAGTGGGTGATGTCTGAGTGAGAAGCGCCCTAATTGATCATTTGAAGGGAAGAATGTGTATCGTAGGCCTGTAGTTCGGACAGGCCCGGCGCCCTTCCCACAGTAGCCGAGTGCGCCAGGGGCGCGGGTGCCGAGGCCACGAAGGTGTGCGGCTCCAGCCTTAAGGGAGGGACATTGCAGCCTTCCATGGGATAGACGCCCTTCGAGCCCCGGGCTCCTGGGCTCCCAGGAGGATCTAAGCCCGCTCCGGGCATTGTCCGGGCCCTCTGCGGCTTCCCGGCCCAGAGGGGCTCGACCCCAGCTGGCCGAACAGGCCTCCGGAGGGCCTCCCGCACTCCTCGGGCGGGCCTCTGCCCGCCGCGCGCCCCGCGTCCCCGCCATGGCTCACCAACCCCGACTCCTCAGCCAAACGCCCCTGGCCTTCCGACAAAAACCGGAGCGGGCCCGGAATGCACATGTCCTCGCCTCCGTCTCTCTCCCCGCTGCTCTCCTCAGAGACAGACTCCTGAAAAAGACGGGCGTGCAGAAGATAAGGACACAGTCTCGCACACCTTTGCAACCAGCGCGGGCCTTTTTCTGGGTCAAAACGCGTGTAAATTGCATGGGAAAACGCAGGGGAGGAGTGCGTCTCCGAGTGGCCGCTTTTCTGACCGAGGCTCGGACGAGATCCGGGTTCGAGATGAGAGTGGAGATCCGGGGTCCCAGGGGAGACATTTAGCTGCCAGCTCTCTCCCCACGATCCTCGGGCTCTCTTAGAGAACGAACGACCGATAAAGAAAGCAGCGTGTACGTCTGGCAGGCACAAAGATACTGTAGATGCATTAGTTAGGGGTAGGGTGCAGATATAGAAGTGACTGTGTATAATGT